ATTTTATATGATTCTCAATAAATATTATTTATGAAAAAAATTATATTAATATGATAATTATAACTTTTTTATTTTATCACGTTTGTTTTGGAAAAAATAATTAATAAGTATTTTTTCAAAATATATTATTTATTTTTTTAGAGAGAAATAAGATAAAATAAAAAAATATTATAATTATCGAATTAAAATTTTGTTCATTGATTATATACAAGAAAATGGTTTTATAAAATGAACAATTCAGATCATTAACACATGACTTGTGCTGAGTCATGTTTGGCCCATTTAAATACCCAATTTAAGTTCACTTTATTGATCTGAATTATTATTTTTTTGTATGTTTCTATTAGATCATGCATACGAAAAGTTAGATTGGTCAAATATCAGTAGTCACATGTTAAAATTATGTTTGTGTTTAAAAAATGAACGGCAAATACAATTTTAAAAATAGATTTATTTTTTTAAAGACAAATATGATCCAAATAGATAATTATCGATATCCAACAACTATAATTTTTTCATACATGATTTACTCAAAATATACAAAAAATTAAACGATTCAAATTAACAAATTGATTCCAAAATAAACCTTTAATGCTCCATTTAGGTCTCATTTAAAAATATGCTATTTTAATAATTTTTTGAATTTTTACTAAAATATGTGTAGAAAAGTAGAGAGAGTGATGTGATAACTTATAGTGACTTTTTGGCTAAAATATATATGCCCCATTTGGGATGAGTGTTTGGACTAAAATAATCATATATGACAAAATAGTTCATTTTAGCTAAATATGACAAAATATCACAATCAATCCATAATCATTTCATTTTTTTCCTCACAAAAGTCAAAAAAGTCAAAAAACCTATCTCAAACGAGATTTTTTTTAACCCTAAATAGCCAAAAAGTCAATCCACATCATAGTTGACAAACGAGACCTTAATTCACTATAATGAGTTGAAATGATCACCCCTTAAACTCTCATATAGAATGGCCATTCTCTTAAATGATGAATAATGATTCTATTTGTAATCTATTTTATCATTATTTTTTTAATCAACTAAGGCCTCGTTTGGGAACAAGCTATTTTAGTATCTTTTTAACTTTTTGGCTAAAATATGAGGTAAAAAAAACTAGTATGTTTGGGATGATTTTTTGATTTTTTACGAAAAAATGCGTAAAAAATAGAGAGAAAAGAGAATCTTTGACTTTTTGGTATAAGTTGTTGGTTTTTTGATTTTTTTAATAATTTTTTAGCTTTTAAACTAAAACAACCACTTGTCAAACGAGGCCTAAATATATAAATAAACATTTTGATAAAATTATCATCCTATTCCGTTTTATTTCAATAAATTAAACACTCAGTTCAATCAATGGAATAAGGGAATCTGCACCCTTTATTTGTTTTAATTTTTTTTTGGATTCAAATCTGCACCCTTTCTACTCCTAGTTTTACTTGTGCTTTGCTTTCCCCTATTACAAATGACTCTTCCTTCAATCTATAAATTAAAAAAATCAAGCATAGCATGGAGTATCCATCAGTAGCCTATTGGGCTGTCCAATAAAAAAATGTTAACAGGCCTAAATTCAAATTCAGTGCCCTAACTTGGGTCCCATATTGGGTTTATCTAGCTAGTAGATGTAGTCCATACTCCGGCCCAAAATTCAATATAGTCCATACTCCATCAATCTCACCACATTCATACCACATTATTCATAGTCTCACTCGCCTAACAATTTAACATGACCATAATTCTATTTGTTTATTCTAAAATAATTTTATACAATTTAATAAATTGTTTTATTTTTTTTACTCACGTTAATTAATATTTTAGTGAGTATGCTATTAACTTTTTAAATTGACTAAATTACACTAACCTCTCATGAAATTTTAAAAAAAATGCAATAAATTTTACAGTTTTAATATAATTATACTAATATCTCTTTTAATAAAATTTGATAAACCGAAACTAATCTATATAATACAAAAATACAAATATAAATCATGTAAAGTAACACATTTTAATATAAAAAAAATAATAATATCATTTTTTTAATCAATATAACTAATAAATTTTTGATAGAAAGAAATGTTAAGTATTATATGAATAAAAATTTTAAAGGAATTCAATATAATTGTGTCAAAATTGTGAGAATTATCATATTTTTTTTAAACTTCAGAAGTAATTTATCCTTTTAAATTTTATTATTGTATGTCGTATTTACAAATAAAATATTAAAGTTTATTTCAAGTTGAAGGCACGCAAACCAGCGCAACAGCAGACCAGACCCCGCTAATCACAGCTGGCTATATGGCTCACAACACATGCTCCTAGTCGTCACCCAAATTGCTAAATGAATAATATTATATTTGTAAATTAATATATTAATTAATGTATTAATTAATGATGTAATATAATATAATATAATATTTTTTTGATATTTATAAATTTTTTTTATAATGAGCAAAATTTATAATAGTGTAATAATTAATAGTAATATATTAATTAATACATTAATTAATGTATGTAGTACCACCATTGCTAAAATAATTTGGGACGCTCCGTCATAATCTTCCCAAAAATCTCTTATTTAGGTATTGTTTGGGAAGGGTTAAAGTGGCTATTTTAGTCACAAAAGACAAAATAAACTGTTTTAGCCACAAAAAATAAAACCTCATATCTAACCCATAATCATTACTCTTCTTTCACAAAAAAAGTCAAAAAGCAAAAAAATCCATTCTAAACCAAGCTTTTTTAGCCCAAACTAAGGCCTCGTTTGGGAACCTTTCCTTTTAACCAAAAAGCTAAAAAATTACTAAATTAGTCAAAAAATCAACAATCCATATAAAAAAGCCAAAGATTCTCTTTTCTCTCTACTTTTTGCACATCTTTTGGTAAAAACTCAAAAAGTCATCCCAAATATACAAGTTTTTTAAGCTCATATTTTAGCCAAATAGCAAAAAATTTACTAAATTAGCCTGTTCCCAAACGAGACCTATGGGCAAGTTTGAGATCTTTTAAAAAAGATAAAAAGACAAAAAGTTACTCAAAAAGTTAAAAAATTAATACTATTCACTAAAAGTCAACAATTACGGCTGCACAACTTCCAATTCGAATTTTTCTCCACAAATCAATTTTTATAATTTTTTATTATATATTTTTTCATAAAAAGTCAAAAAGTTAACCCAAACATCTATATTTTCAACTTCAATTTTTTAGCCTAAAAAGATAAAAAATACACTTATTTAAGACACTCTAAATAACCTTTAAAATAACTAAAAAAATTAAAAAGTTAAAAAGCTAACCTACTTTGCAAACGGAGGCTTATATATTAAACACATTCGCAGAGGTTTTATAGACATAGTTAATTAAAGGGAGGCTCATTAATTATCATTCCCCAAAACAGCCAATTGGCATAGGGCAAAAATATTACAAGACTAGAAAAATGCTTGGGAGCATTAATTAGTGCTCCCACTAATTAGGTGGTAGTGAGTCTCATCATTAATGATGTGATGTTTTGGTCTTGAAGTTGTGTTTTTTTTTTTTTTTTTACTTTTTTAATGCATTAGTGCTATTAGTGGTGATATTTTTAGTGAGATGAATCATTGTTATACAAGACTAATGTTATATATATCAATTAGTGCATTAATTAATATATTAATTGATAATGTGATATAATTTAAGATATTTTTAGTATTTATAATTTTTATAATAAGTGAAATAAATAATAATGTCACAACTAGTATTAGTACACTAGCTAGTACACTAATTGATATATATAGCATCACTTATGTTACAAAGGTTTAATTTGGGAATTTGGTTAAAAATTAAAGTTTGACTTTTAACTTATTTTGAGTTATATAACTTATTTATTTTTTTACATTTTTTTTAAAAAAATAAAAAATTAACTTTTAACAAATTTCTTAAAATAATCCAACAAAAATGTGTTTGGTGGTATAATATTCTTTGATGTGACAATCCAACCATTGAAAAAACTAGTTTTGTTGGGAAAATATTTTAGTGCACATGGCCAAAAGACTCATGGTATCCTAATTTGATATACGTTAGTTGGAATGGCAGGATTTTTAATTAATTTATTTATTTATTAAGGAGGGTTTGGAAAATGCGTTAATTAAATTAATTTTTTTAATTAAAAAAATTAAGAAGTCAAATAATTTATATGTCATCATTTAAAAATTTTAAATATGTTTGGATGGATTAGATAAGGGGGATTGAAATCTATCGAATTGTTAGTCCGGGATATATTTATGTTCCATGTTTGTTTAGTCATGAGATTAGATATCAGGATATGATTATTTGAGTGGATATAATATGAATCGTATGTTTATTTGGGATATTATGGAGAAGAATAAATGTTTATTTTCAATTATTTACTAAGTGATAACAATATTAAACATATATTTAATATTTTAATTATTTTTATTCAGATTTTCAGACTTGGCAAAGTCAAATTTGTAAGCGCTTACCATCTCACCAAAACACATAAGTTGTGTAATAATTAAACAATGAAATTAAATAAAACATCTATTAACATTTAAATAATGAAATTAAATAAAATATAAACAAAATTTTAAAATAAAATATCAATAAAATATCTATAAAAAATTATTTTAAAAAATTAAATAAATAAAATTATTTTATTTTTAAATTAAGATATTTAAATTTTATTAAATTTAATTAAATATAATACATAATTAAATAATAAAGATTCAAAATAATCATTTCACTAGTTATTCCTATACCTCCTTATGGCTCTATTTGTGTCCCACCCCAACGGCACACACAATATTCCAACACATATAAAACTACTAATCTAGAGTAACTATTAATTCAAAACAAAATTAAAAAATCAAACAGTAAACTATTAATCGAATAATACAAACACCACCATACGGTACAGAGCAGTTGTGTTGTGGGCCAGGTGGTTGAGTTGAGACAGTTGAGACCTTCCTTACGCTTGGGTTGGACTCAAAACCCTACGACATACGCGCCTATTTATACGGTGAGAAGGAAAGAGAGAGACAGAGACAGAGAGTGTGCGAGCAGTTTAAGACAGAGTGATCTATGATAATGGATCGCAACGCTGTCTTCGCTATAAGCTTCATCTGCATTGTCGTCGCCGGCGTTGGAGGCCAAGCTCCGGCATCATCACCTACTTCAACACCGGCGCCGCCGTCTACCCCCACCGCACCAAAAGCTTCTCCTCCTACTTCAACTCCGGCCCCTCCCTCTACCCCCACAGCACCAAAAGCTTCTCCTCCTACTTCAACTCCTGCCCCTCCCTCTACCCCCACCGCACCAAAATCTTCTCCTCCTACTTCCACCCCAGCTCCGCCGACTACTCTAGCTCCGACCACCTCTCCTAAGGCGGCGCCACCTACTGTAATATCATCTCCGCCGGTTTCAACTCCACCACCAGCTACTCCTCCTCCGGCTACTCCTCCACCAGCCACTCCACCACCGGCTACTCCTCCTCCGGCCACTCCTCCACCGGCTGTTCCTGCACCTGCACCGCTTGCTGCTCCACCTGCTCAGGTTCCGGCCCCAGCTCCGAGCAAGAAGCCAAAATCTCCGTCGCCGTCGCCGTTGGCAGTGAGTCCTCCGGCACCGCCGACGGAAGCACCAGCGCCGACGAACGGGGGGGCTACATCGCCTTCCCCATCTGCTCCCGAAAAGGTACGTACGCGGTTTTTTAGTTCACTCGTTCATGGCATTTCTCTAACGTGCGTCTAGGGCACAACAATGAGCGCACGATGATCACGATCTGTGGACATCAAGCACAGATCTGAGCATTTGAGGTGGTCACATTGAGTTTGCAGTCACAGATCAGGAACTAGTCTGTCTAGTTTAGTTAACCAGTTTTCAAGTGATCTTGTTAAAACACATGGCGTATTGTAGTTTATTCTCCTTATGGTTTGCTAACGTGAACAGGTTACCTGTGTAACTTTGTGTTTCGTGCGGCCCCGGTGTCATTGAGTGTCTTGGGTTGGGTGTAAACTGTGTGATCGTGATGGTAGTGTAGTGATCAGATGCGGAGAAGCCCATATGAACTTGGGTTTTGGATCTTTGACTTTTTCCAAGTGTTTTCAGGAGGAGAAAAATATATAAGCTAATTAGGAAGATCTCAAAGCTTTTAATTACAAAACATTTGAAGACATTTACACAATCAAAAAGTCATATGATAGCTTATTTTGAAAACATATTTAACTTTTGAGAATACAAAAATTGTACCAAACTTATTGTTATAATCTAAGAAGTTTTATAATCATAAAACTATTAAGTAATACCAAACAGAGTCCGCAAATGGAGCATCTCCATTGACGTACAAAAACTAAAATCCTTCAAAATCATGCAAGTGTATTGAGGTCACGAATAATGATACCTATGAATTTGCCATATAAATACATACTTAAAATTTAGTTAAGGGAGCTGCTAAATAACCAAAAAATCTCTCTCCACATTCACTGTCCTAACTTATATCCACAATCAACACCTATACGTATCTCACACACATATAAGTGTGTGCAGTAGTAGAGCCAGTATGGCGAACTGGGCTATATGGTGATAGGTTGGATTGTTCTCCTTGTCATCTCCAGCAAAACATGCCCTTCAAAATTTGAATGCATTGGGAGATGTCCTTTTGAAGGGCCTACCGAGAAGATAATGGAGATTTTAGGGTTTAGAGAATGATATAGCATACCTCACTTGTATATATACACGAGGCGCAGGTTCTAGAAGATCCCCATTTTGTGATTGATGGAATAATTTTTTTAGGCCTTGTGCAGTTAGAGTCTGCCACGTGTCTTTCCCCTTGTGCACAACTCCTCGGGATAAAGGTTACTGCTCAGTCATGTCCTTTAGGTGGTGGCAGGCAGTTTTATAGCGGGGGATCACCTTTGGTTTGTCCACATACCCCACTATGCTATGTAGGCTAGTCGAATATCTCGGTCTGACCAGGGAATTGCTCAGCAGATTGGGATGTTTAGTTGATCAGTCAAGGCTGTGCCAGCTAGGAGGTTGGCATTGCTGACGAGTGGCCTGGCTCGAGGGTTTGCCTGGCTTAGCTTGTCTATTTCTCCTGGGGGGTTACCTTGATTGGTTGGACATTGCACTAATTGTGTATTCATCAAGTTCAATGACTAAGAGATAGTGAGACTTTTATTATTATCTTTTTTAACAAAGAGCGAGTTTCAACGCAGAACATAATGAAGTCAGGGAAAAGTAAGATGTTAATGGGGGCAAATTGTCTCGCACGAGCTATTGTTCAATGGCAATACATGTGGCTACATTATTTTTTCTAAATCTCAGTCTGGGCAATTTCCCCCCACTCAGCCTGATGTGGCTCTGCCCTTGAGTGTGCTGATGTAGTGCCAACATGATAGTGATTTCATTCCAAGTCGATTCAAAGCTGGTTTACTGGTCAAAACCAAAGATAATGCGGTGGTCCCGGACCATGGAATAACTTTCCTGAGATCATGGAAGTAAGGGTAATTAAAGGTTGTTACTTTTACATGTCAATTGACTAAATTCATGATCCTTGTATATGTGAAACATATATGTAAAGAGGGGTTGGGGATCTAGTCATTTTGACTTACGAGAATAGCTCCTTTTAAATGATAAATAACTTTATTTCTGGGACCATTAACTGCATCTAATTCTCTATCCCTGTACCTGTCTCTATCCATGCCATGCCCTTTTGTTGCCGCATCGCCAAAATCTAGGTACAAGAGAGACATGGGATATGTGATGGTATATAGATAGATATCCAAGTGCAAGAGCTCCTTTGGACATTATCCCTTGCAGTGTTATTAAAGGCGTGCCTAGGCGTGCGCCTAGGCCCAAGTCCCATCCAGGCCCAAGGTTTGCGCCTTGTAGTGTTCCAGGCTAGGCGACTTCGATAAGGCGCACCTAGGTTCAAGTCCCGTCCAGTCCCAAGATTTGTGCCTCGTAATGTTCCAGGCCAGACGACTGTGATAAGGCGTCTGATTGGCCTAAAGTTTGCGTCTTGAGGACTTTTTTTATTGTTGCTAAGGTTTTGTTTAAAATCTAACCATCGATTTAATATGTTGCTGTTACAGAAGATCCCTACTCTTATTACAAATGCCAATATATTGGGCATTCAACCCCAAATCAATGATAAAAGAAAAATTAGTTCTAATTCTTAATCTTCAAAAAATACTAAATGTTTAACATTTCATTTTGTTTATGTTAAACCCTAAATTATTTACTAACATTAAATTATATATTTTTTTCCGTACAAGGTGTGCTTCACTTCGGTGAAGCCTGTGCTTCACCCTGCACCTTAAGCCTTGAGCCTAGGCTCTAGGAGACCTTGGCGCCTTGGTGCACCTATCGCCTTTGATAACACCGATCCCTTGTGTTATTCCAAACCTATACATATGTTACTAATGCTAGGTCTGTCACTGTTTTGTATACTTGGATACTCATGATTGGTTCTAGTTTGAAAATAATCATTAACAATAGTGAAGGAGATCAATGTACAATTGAAAAACCAGTGGTATATAGCATTCTCAGTTTGTTAATAGTATCAAAATTGTTTCCAACTCTAGGGGAAAGTTGTTTAATTTATGAGAAATATATATCAGATCTGAAGAGTAGTCTCATGGCCGATGCCAAAGTATCTAGTTTTTATATAAAGTTCATCTAAATTTTAGTTTACGATTGGGGTTTACAAACCTTGGGAGATTGATATCATCATATTTGCCCCAAAATTAGTATGGATGTGGAAATAAGCTTTTGGATTTGTGTTTGGGATGTTCAATGTAAGCATACACAAAATGTGCTTGGACAAAGTGTGAATCAGTTATATCAATTACCCATTTCATAGAAAAATTTGATTTTTATTGTGTCCATCTTGAAGAGTCACACAACTATCTTAAGTACTACTATCATTCCTGTTTTTTTAAACATAGTAGACCTTTCTTGGCTTTGCTGTGTCTTTTTCTAACATACTAAAACTCACATTGCAGAGTGGGGTGGAGAAATCGTGGTCCATGGAGAAGATGGTCAGGAGCTTGATCTTTGGATGGGCTCTCCTTTGTTTGCTATTCTGAGATGACAAAACAGAAAGTTCCAGTATCAGAGATTTTTTTCTATCTTCTGTTTCATTTACTTTTTCCCGTATTATTATTATTGGCTGTGTCATTTTTAGCCCATATTTATATGGTGATGGGACTGGAGGACCTGTATTTGGACCATTCATTCATCAGTTGGATTCTTTAAGGAGATTTTTCTTGGGAGCTTTTGTATTTTTATTTTGAATGGTTACAGTTTAGTGACCTATTTTTTTTCTCTCCTGATTTCATGTTTAGCTTCATGTTGTTCCATTGTATTGTCACCGCACGAGCTTGACATATATTACTTGGGATTAACCTGGTGGATGAGCTACCCTATTATTGATGCAATATTTGAGTTCAAATTTTACTGATTCTGGTTTATTTCTCATTTACTGATTGTATGAAACAGTTAAAATCGTGACAATTACAAAGTTTGAAGCAGTTAGATTTGAAATGGGTATGTTGGCACACAGATAAGGGTAGTACAAAAATAAAATTGTGCAGCTGCAAGTCCAACGGTTGACAGTGCTGCGCTTGATGGTAGATGTGCAGTGTTGTCAAACAGTTTCCTGGCTAGATGTGTCACTCTCTATTTTACTTTGGGTTAGTCTTGCCTAGATGGTGCCACTTGCTCTATTTTACATTGGGTATGTAAATTTTGGTCCTTCTTGATCTTCTGCAAGCTCCTGAGATATATTCACTACTAATTTTTTTCTTGCATATTCCAAATGTAAACTTGTAAGCTATATCTTTTTATGAAATGAAGTGATGCTCTTTTTCTTGCCAAAAAAAAAAAACAAAAAACAAATATAAATGACATTTGGTAGAAAGTTTGGTAAAATTTTTGGGGTCCCTACCATTTTCAATACAAATATAAGAAAATATTTTAATTCATAGAAAGTTGAATGTAACATATGTTTTATTTAGGAGATTGCTCGGTCCCTGATTGGAAATGATAGACATTAATTTCTCGACACTCGTTTGTAGTGAGGCATTTTATACGTGTTCCTAAGAAAATAAATTTGTCTATTTTTTGAGGTCTTAGGGTTATATTGACTATATCTCCATCTCACTATAGTGTGAAGTTATCTAATAGGTCTGACTTATCATGTGATTGTATGTTCATCCCCTAACAAAGGGACGCAACATATACCAACTTGTCAAGAAAATAAAAATAAAAATGGTCTTTTATCCCTTTATTATTAGGACACACCACACATATGTTAAATTGAACCTAAATAGTATCATATCTTTTATGCATAATAAGTGACGTAAATTTTTTTGTAAATCATAAAACATTTCCATTATCCTCTTTCAACTTTTCTAAATCAATAATTAATATTTGAATAATATAATAATGTTAGTGTGTTAGTGATTTTCTAACCACACTGCCCGCTTAGTAACCAGCTGGAGAGTACCGGCAGAATAGATGGCACTTGGCTGACCTGCAACAGAAAGAGAAGATTCCGGCGGTGGTTCGTCCACTCGGGGGCACTCCGATGATTAAGTCAGTATATCTCTCAAAGATAAATCAAGTGCTAAACTCACAAGCTTGAGTATCAAAAGCATACCTCAGACCCATGGGTGCCTCTCTTTTATAGCCAACATAAACCTAGTCCCAATAGAAACCTAACTTCTATGGACTCATGATTACTGCTAATCTTGGACTCCTAGTAAGATTAGGATAAACTCTCTAAGAGTCTTATCTAAATACAAACTGAAGTTTTCTCTCATTCTAGGACTCTTGTCCCTCATCCGCTTATCTCGGATTCCGATATCTTCGGAGGTAACCTCGGCCTATCCAAGATGACCTCGGCATAACAACCAGGACACGTGGCACCTCGGCTGACACGTCGGCGTCACCTTGCCACGTGTCGGTACTCAAAAATATATCCCCACAACTGTCCCCTAGGTTCTATTATCTCGGTATTCTGAGGTGATGGAACTTATACCACTCCGTTTTCTCAGTACGTCGATTTTCAGTATCTCAGCCGAGATCATTATTTTGGCCGACATGTCATTGCTGAAGAACAAGAACTTCAAGAACCCTTTCACGCGTATGAGCTGTCATACACCATAATTCAATCATTTTTAGCCACGCATTTCTTTCTTACTGGTTCGTACCTGTGACGCGCCCGTAAGCCGTCTCTCTCTTACGTGCGCCATCTGACGCATACGTTCTTCCAGGCGTATTGATTACTTTTTGCTGCTATTTTTCATTTTTAACAAAACACCTCTTCGATTTTTTCCTTTCACTTTATTCTTGTTTCTGGAAAACTTTTTCTCTCTCTAACTTTCTCTTCTCAAGTCTGCCATTGTTCAAGCTTCCTTGCTCTGAAACTTATTCCGTTCACCCCTTCCGGTGTGTTTTGCACCATTTCGTTGCCTCCACGACTGTCGTCTGATCTTTACACCGGCTTCATATTTTCTGGTAAGCAACTGTTTTCTTCTTATTCCAGTTCTTGATCTTTTCTGGAATTTCTTGTTATTACTGCCTTGTTCAAACATTTAATTTGTGAATCATACATTTGAATGCGTTGATTTTACTTTTTGCTTATGCCTTGAATACATGTACTGTTCATAGTTTTCTTGCACGTCTTGCTACTGTTCTTGGCCTTTAACCCTTTGTATTCTTCATGTTTTTGATAGTCTATCTTTGCTCTTGATTCTGAAACTTCGCCTTTGTTTTCTGTTTTTTGTGTCTTTTCCAGATCTGTGCCTTTGATCTTCATCTCCATAGTTTTAGGTTTGGGATTTGTCTGTAGAACCCACATTTTAGGAAAAACTGAAACATCCCTTACAAATTTCTGCACCAGTTCAAACCTAGGTTTTTTGCCGATGTCCCAATAACCCTTTTTGAAACATCTTCTTTCTGAAATCCAATACCTTTAGTTATCCCGATATCATGGGTATGTGGAAACATCGGGTAGACACCCCTTCTAAGCTAGACTTTTTAAGGCAAGAGTTTGAAATCCCAGCCGATGTCATTCTGAGGTTGGCTGGGGATGATGACTCCATCATGCCTACTGATCACTCCATGCCCTTTCCTGTAGTTGCCTTTATTGAATGTGGACTTCGGTTTCCACTTGACCATTTTTTCCGTCAAATCCTTCACTTCTATAAGTTGAACCCAATGCAACTCGCCATCAATTCTTACCGAGTTATTACTGGTACCATAGCTTTAGTTAAACAAGAGAATGCTAGGATTACACTTGCCGACTTCCAATACTGTTATACCATGTGTCGTCTTAGAAAAGACACGGACTATGTTTATTACCTTAAGCCGAGATCCACCGAATATAAAATCGTAGCCGACCTCCTAGACTCCAACAAGGGAGCTGGAGACGATTACTTCATTGTCTCGGGCAATTGGGAGTTTCAGCCAAACAACAACCTCCATCTTTATCCCTTAAGCCGCACTGTTTTGAGGGAAGGAGCTAGTAAGGGCCACCCTTCATAAGTTTCTTTTTATCTTCTTGCATAAAGTTTTCAATATTCTTGTTCTAATGTCTGTGCTGTTTTTATCTTTTGCAGTTCTTCCTCAACCTCCAAAGAATTTTCGCCAATCCTTCTATCCCAGCAAGGATTTGAAAAAACTTCTGAACTTGCCAATTCACAAACGAAAGGCGCCTCTGCCTCTCAACTTTATTCCAACATATAGGTCCACTTTGCCCGACGTCCCTAGGAGGAAGAAAAAAAACCTTTCTCCACCATCTGCCACAATGCCACAGACCGCATCCACATCTCGGACAGACTAGGGGTCAACCTCTGATCCAGCAACTTCAGCTCCATACTTGGTTCCAATATCACAGCGCCGCTGTCACGCCCCCAAACCGCCCCTAGTAGTTTGGTGCCGTGATGGCCAGTAATCCGAGATTACCGAAGGCCGACTTACAAAATTCACACACAATCAGAGTACAATATACGGGGCTCACAAGTGCGGAAGCAATAATCTAAAATACAAGTGGTCCATAAGAGCAGTGCATAGTCAAATGGAATGGCATACATCTTTACATAACTTATAACTTGATTACAAAAGTACATGTTACATCTTGGCAAAGGGCTTCTCAAGCCGACATAAATATAACACATGAAATACAAAACATGGAACATGATCTTCAGGATTGCCGACATCCTTACAGCCGACCAAACAAGCATACAAAACACACATCTTGGCGAAGCCGACCTCTTACTTATTACCTACATATATACATAGGGAGGGTGAGCTTGGATACTCAGTGAATGGTACAAGTAATAAAGGGGTTGCATGAATGATTTCCAAGGTCCTTGTCAAAACAATACATATATCATAGCTTGTTCAAAACATGGGATGAATCAAGTTCATCGATCAAATCTTGGTCTTTCAAATCTTGCTTGGGATGTTAAATAATATCTACATAATACATGGGGTGATGACATATCAAGACAAGAGTGCAATTGCATTATAGTCCCCTGCAACTAAGGACTGTCAAGACATGCTGTGCTGCGAAAGTTTAGAGTCCTCTAGCACTAAGGACTGTCAAGACAAGCTGTGCTGCGAAAGTTTAGAGTCCTCTAGCTGCGAAAGTTTAGAGTCCTCTAGCACTAAGGACTGTCAAGACAAGCTGTGCTGCGAAAGTTTAGAGTCCTCTAGCACTAAGGACTGTCAAGACATGTCATCAAAACAAGATAGCGTTTAATATACAAGTAGGGATAGTCATTCATGCTAGATCAAGTACTTTTCAAAACAAGGCAAGGCAAGATTTTATGAAAGCAAGTGTAACATAGCTTTATTAGAAATACCACTCACATAGTTTCTTCAAACGTCGGGGTCAAGCAAGCCCAAGTCCTACAAACACATGGCAAGCCTATTGAATGCACTTTCAAACAAGTCTCTTATGTATGCAAATGATTTCGGAAACATGCTGGGCACCAACCAGGTCTAGGCCGAGGATCCACACCTCCTCGCCGAGGTGTGTTCCCGAGGGCCACATGCAAGGAAAAGAGGTCGGGAAACTCTGGGTTTCCCTCTGCTGAAGAACACGAAGAACATGAGTGTGAAAACATGAAAAAATACGAACGTTCAATCATCATCTGTCACTACAGATCTGGGATTTTCATGCTATGAGTTTGAAAACACGGACCTGGGTACCCGTACTTGGAACTCTTGCGGAAATAAACACAAAAACATGATTCCTTATGCAAGTTTTCGGATCAAAACAAGACTTTTCTTGACATTGAATGCATTTTCAAACAAGCTTTATATGTATACAAATGATTTCGGAAAACATGCTGGGCACTAACCAGGTCTAGGCCGAGGTTCCACACCTCCTTGCCGAGGTGTGTCCCTGAGGGCCACATGCAAGAGAAAGAGGTCGGGAAATTCTGGGTT